TCTCTCTCTCTCTCTCACACACACACACACACACACACACACAATCCCAACAGCATGCTTTGATTACTTGCCATGGTAAGTAACTCTCTAATCCTACAAGTACTTGCAGTGCTTTTTTTGTAAAAAAAAAAAAAAAAAAGAAAAGAAAAAAAAAGGTGCTGGAAGTCACGTCACCGCCGGCAGTAAGCACACACACCAATCCCAAGCTGAGCAGTGTCACGTAAAATCCATTGAAAAAAAGGGGCCGGAACACCGTTCCGGTGCATTCTATGACAAAAAAAGCCCTGAGTACTTGTATCTTAAGTGCTATATAGTTTCCAAAAGTTAGTCTTTTTGAAGTAGCTGAAACTCCAGCAATGAAAATAAACAAGCAAACCCAAAATGTATGAGTCTAGTACACAGAAACAAAAGCAGTAGGTGATGTAGCTGGTAGAGATCCCAGTGCAGTTTGAGGCAACACTTCTTCACTGGAGATGCAGGAAGGAAAATAAAAGGCTTTTGGGGGCATAATCTATGCATGTTTAGATGGGGAAAATATGTTATCTTGGGCATCTTGGGAACTGTATGACTTTTTCTGTCTAAGCTGACACAGGGTTGTGCTATATAGAGAAAGATCAAACTTTCTTTTGCAGTAGTCAGAAACCTGAAATAAAAGGAAGCAACACTCAAGTAATAGATTAAAAGCAACATTGGAAAACTGTTGCTAAAACATACTGCCACAGGCCCTTTGGTCCTTACTGCTTCACACATAAAAGAAAAAAAAAAGGAAAGATGCTTGCCTAATTGTCAATGAAACTGTAATTCCAACATTCATCAGGGCTGGAAGAAGTCCTGCAAAGGTTGGATCAAAGTGTTCTCTTCCAGGATGATCAAGAAAACTGGGGAGAAAAAACTCTGACAAGCCACCTGACAAGAGGCTTCCTATCTAATGGACAAAAGGTGGCAGTGTAACATAAACATTGAACACAGTTAACTGTGAGTAAAGAATAAAAGGGACCCTTTGAAACCTATGGAAGACTTCCCCCATTGGGGTCATCACAGAGACCCTGCATATATCAGCTTCATCTACACATACAGATTATGTCATTGACCTTCCTAAAGAAATATGCTTCATTTCCTCCATGGAGATCCTGTCGTCTTTTAAATAATAATAGCAGCATCTTTCAGTTGAAACCCACCCCATATACCTGCTCTGTCCTCACAGCCTGCAGTAGGACCTTACATGGATGCATTCTCCACATGCAACCAAAGGATTGGGACAAAGAAGAAATCATGCCCACATGTGATTTGCCCTGCTGCTCCAGGAAAAAAGGAACAACAAGCCAAAATACATGACAGTGTGATGGTATGGAGACCACGGGATTGTTCAGATCCTGAGCTCTGAAAATACCTCCAGCACTGGAAATGGGGACCTGTCCTCAGAGCACCCACAGCCTGTCTTGCAGCTGGTGCAAAAAGAATGTACTGGTTGCTTTTCCAAAGCCATAGCAGTGACCGTGGTGGAAGGGCTTAGAGGGTGCTCTGAAGGGCAAGGAAGGGGGAGATTGGCACTGCAGAGACACAATACATTCTGGTGATGTCATAGCTGTCTTCCTCCAGTGCAAAGGATCAGGTCCATGGAGGTGACCTTCACTTCTATGCTGCTCCTAGCCTGCATAGGATGCCTGTAAACCTCTGAATTGGAGTGCTAAGGCAGCCTTGTAAACCCTAAGGCTATTTGATGTGCCTCCTAAAGACCTCTCTGGAGACTGGGGCTCTTCCCTTTAAGGATAGTATATACCATGAAAATGCAGCACAAATATTCTCACACTTTTGATTGCCAAAGTAGATAAGGTGCTTTGTAGCAGCCATTATTTTCCTCCTCCAACCAGTGTGTCTCAGAAACCCAGGAAAAGCTGTTGAAATCAACATATTTTCCAGGAAGCCTCCCTCTAACTGGATCTTTGCTACTGAGCTTTTGTTACACAGAAGTCATTCTCTCATTAAAGAGGCACTAACTTTTCTGCAATATTTTCCACAGTGTCTTGGCAGATATTCTAAGTACCATTATTGGCTAACCTTCAAGGTACACCACTGAGCCTGACTGCAAGTAAAGCTATTAATGAGTAGGTACATTAGTTTTCAAGCTTTTCAGGCCATGCAAATGTTCACAGAGTGGCATATGAAGGACGAAGAACATGCATGAACTCCCATGCACATGGGTTCAAAGCTACAACCTATTAGAAGGGTTCTTGTGTACATGATACATAAAAACTATAAAAAATAGAGTGGTAAGATGAAAAGCACTGCATTTGCAACTTGAAAATATTTTTCTTTCTTTCTTTGTGTTATGTGTACAAGAGTGAGTGAACTTTTCCCACAGCATATTTAAGATGTGGACTAGAAAAAGCCACAATGGAGTGTCTCCTGGCAGTTCTGGTCCACGAACTAGCTTTAAATCTCAGTGCATCTGCTTCACTAATTTAGTTTTATCAACCACTGTGCTTATTCCCTCTCTCACACACACAAGCTCGCAGTTGCAGAATTCCAATAACTTGTCCAGACAATATTCCAAAAAGCAGAAACGGAACTTTCTAGATATATGAGGCTTTGCAGATGTAATGCTTTAAAACGCATTTCAACATCAGACACACATGTGCTCAAAGTTCCATCTTGTTGCAAGAACACTAAATTAGCCCACACAAACTGAAAAGCAGCTGCCACAGTAATCACACCTATTGTTCCTGATAAAACCTATACCAGTCATCTCTAGCAAAAGTAAGAAGGTCAATGGAAACATGACACAGTGGTGTGCAGTTTTCAAAGATCGGCTTGCTTTGTTTGTTTGTTTGTTTATTTATATTGCAATTTATATCCCGCCTTTTTCCTACAAAGGGCTCAAGGCAGCTTACATCGTCTCCCCTCCTCCTCCTTATCCCCACAACAACCCTGTGAGGTAGGTTGGGCTGAGAGTCTGTGACTGGCCCAAAGTCACCCAGTTGGCTCCATGGCTGAGCGGAGACTAGAACCCAGATCGTCTAAGTTCCAGTCCCATGCTCTTAACCACTACACCACACTGGCTTATCCTGGTTTGTTTGATGCTGAAATTTCCCAAGAGTTTTTAGGAACCAAAGGAGTGCTGAAACGGGCAGAGTTGCATGGACTGAATGATGAGAAGGTAAATTGCATGCTTGGCAAACACATCACCCAGTGCCTTAAACACACACACACACACACACAAGTAAGGTACCTATTTTCCATTTCTTGATTGACATGTTGATGTACAGGCCCTGACCGCCTGCCTGCTCTTAACTGTAGCTGGAGTTTAGGTGAACCCTCTGTTTGCCCGGATGGGACCTAACCTCTGTCAAAATGACTGCCCCCTCACACCACTTG